TTCTGGGAGTTGAAGTCCACTCATCTTAAAGTGGCCAAGTTTGGACAACACTGGTCTAAAGCAGATACTTTGTTTAAAACATAGCCACAAACTGAATCTGTAAAAAATTCAGATGCCTTCCAGTAGAGCACTGCTGCAGCTGAGCTGGCTTCTCTTTCTCTTTCTCCATGCTATGCATGCTAGTCTATGTAAACGTGCACAGCTGTGATCAAAGACACATTTGTACTGTTCCCTGTCTGTCCAATACCATCCAAATCAATATTTGGATAATTGACAGAAAGACACACATGCCCAAATACTCCACAAAACAAAACCCAAGGTCAAAATGTGGGCCACGTGATGCACTTCTGCTGATGATAAACTTGTCTGCCCCTGTAAATTGGCTAGAAACCACTCAGAGCTTTTTGAAAGGTAGGTAGGTTTAAGAATACAATGCATAAAACAGAAGTAATAAGGGTTCAAATAATTTTCTAATAAAGGTATGGAAAAGTTGAATGGAATCCTGTGTGAGAATTACATGATAGATGAAGAGATTCAGTTATAAAAAAGACAACTGGGAACAGCTTCAGGTCCCAAGAACTATGTGTAAGAGCACAGGAGTACCTGCCTATTTATTGTTTTCATTGTACCTTTGCACCACATAAAAACTGTGTTCCAGATGATCATCTGAGCTTCTGAAACTGTTCTTGGAAACACATATGCAAAGGGAAAAGGGCACGTGTGCACAAGGTTCACCAAATGATGCCTTAGATCCCTGTCAGACTGAAAGCAACTGTTGCATGTTCTTGTGGACGTATGTAGAAGACAGGTGGTTTTCCAATGTTTAAAAGAATCAGTTCTCTTATAAGTAAAAATATAACGAAGATGCCAAATTGTTAATACTAAAAAAAATTAAAAATGGCTGTATTTCAAGTTTTGCCAATTTAATTTGAGTATCAAATACTTATTTTCACTTCAAGTACAGTATTGTGTGTTCTCTTTTATAACAGAAAATTGTATACTGAAAGCTTACTTTATATAAACTGAACGGTGAATACAGAATCCCATTCAGCTATTTAGTGAGAATCTATACTAACTCATCAATAACGGGATGAGTTATTTCTGACTCCATTTCTGTATACATATTTAACTAGCATATCTACTTTTATAATTTGAAGATATAAGAGGATGGCATTGAAATGAAAAGGTTCAAGCTAAGTGGCTACGGATCTTATTCTGTAGTGCTAACTCAGACTATACTACAGCTGAAATTCTACTAAATATTAACAACCCTGATTTTAGTATTAGGGTCAAGCAAACATGCCACTAGTACTTCAGAATGAAGTTTCAGTTAATTCACTCTAATCTGGCCAACTGTTTTAGCAATTCTGTTAAATGAACAAAACAAAGGCATCCAGACAATACCTACTCTTCCCCTTAAACAGAATCGTCTGCACCAGGACCTGGGAGAAGCATTCAGGCTGTTATTCTAGTTCAAAGCAATGAGAAATAAGAAAAGAACAGAAGGAGTAGTAAAAAAAACAGTTTCCAGCTGCTAAAGATGAAAGAAGTATAGAACAGAAATTGGGGGGAAAAAAGAGTTAATATAGTAGCTACGCGCAAGTTATATTATCTAAGAACTGCAGGAATTTTAAAACTTGATGCAATAGCCTCACAAAGTTAGCCAAGCAGACCTTCCACAGACCATGAAAGTTCCTGAAAGGGAAGTTCTCTAAATTATCTTCTTCCCCCTCCCCAAAATTGGAGAGCAGTAAGATTCTGCCGTAAACCAAACTTGCATACAAAACAGACCTATGGAAAAGAAAGAATTCAAGGTATGTTGTGAGTAAATAGAACACTTAACCTTATAAGGAAAACAAATGAAAAAGATTTGATGGTGCAAAATCAAGTAGAATTAATTTAATAACTACATTTCATTTTTCCACAAAAAAAACCCCACCTAATTACATGCAATGAAAACCCAAGGAAAAAAACCAAAAATATTATGGAGCCCAAGGAAAAATCATATTTTTCCTCTGTTTAACTCAAAACTGTTTATCTCAACACTTCATTCCTGGTTTAAGCATTTGTAGGTGTGACAATATGACCTATTTATCTGTTCTACAGAGAAGGCAGATCAATGCAAAACACATAAATACAAAATAAAACCCACCACGTTCATGCAATCAGAATAACCAGGAACTCAACATTCTAACATTGCCTTGTCTGTAAGAACTGTAAATTCTGTAGCCACTAGCTGGGGGACAATTTTTATAGAGAAGGCAGTGTTTTTCCCGGAATGAAAATATGAATATCAGTATTCTGCAAAACTATTTTATTATACAAATTATACACATTGAGATCAATCTGTTCTAACAAGAATTTGAAAATCTACCAATTACTATTTCCAATATCATAACAGATCTCTGGATATCTTGAGATATTTTTCTATAATCTCTTCTGTAAGCTTTAACATTCAGATACTTGAAACTTCATCAATATTAAGAATAGCTCCCCAAATCTACATTGGCTATCTACTACCCTGTCATTTGATGTCTGCAACGGGAGAAAAAAAGCAGTGTGAAAAATCTAAATAAAAATTAGATTTTACAACTGAATCATTTGGATTTCAAACAAGCAAATAAACATTAACTCCCCATAAGCTGTTTTATGATTATTCAGGCTCTATCATAAGGCAGAATGATTTAACTGCTTTAGACGAAATGAACTGATTCCAAAACATTAAAATACAGTAAGATATTATCTATTTATTACTACTGGTCTTTTATTCTAAGAAGATTACAGTGGTACCTCAGTTCACGAACTTAATTCGTTCCGTGACTCTGGTCGCGACCCAATTTTGGTCGCGTCCCGAATCAAATTTTCCCATGAGGTTCAATGTAATTACGGTTAATCCGTTCTGAACCATTTTTTTTTTTTTAAACCACAAA